AAATTAACAAAAACAACAAAAACGAAAAAAATACTTCCCGCTGAATGTTGTGAAGGTACAATTAACGGTACACGCAAATGTCATTTGCCTTTGCGCAAACAACGTTGCGTTTTTGTTTTTGGTTTGGTAAAAAAAAAAATCAAAAAAATATGTATTTTTGCATTTTTATTTAATTACATACTGACATGAATATTGAAGTTCTTGCGAATGTATTATTTGTATTACTATTTGTGTAAATATTTTTTTTTTTTAATTCTACTTATATTTTTTTACTTCAGTTTTTAATTTTTCTATTTGAAGAAAAACGCTGCAATGAGGCGCTCTAGTACTATGATTCATATTCATAAGATTATATGTTTTACTATATTTATATAATAGGTGTGGGGGTACATTGGCTATTTTAAACTTAATTTTATTTATTTCTTGCTTTTATGACCAATGTTTGCATACAATGCTCCTTATAATGAAGCTTTGGAGGTTTATGTGTTAAATTGCATAAAAAAGTAATAAAAAATTGTTAAAGAAAAAAATTTAATATTTTTATTTTTTATTAAAAAGAAAAAAGATGTGTATAAGAGACAGCAAGAATACCATATTAAAGACTAAATAGCCAACCACAAATGAAAAAAATACTCCAAATCGTACAATTATAGACTCAATTACAATGCATTTCATAAAAAAAAGGGCAGTCAGCATAGTTTTCGTTAGATGAGCGAAAACTGTTGTATGTAGCGACCATAAACTGCATCCAAACTCGATAAATTATCGACTTAACGTAAATTAGACGCATTCATGTTCAAATGTAAACAAACGAAAATTTGAGCGGGCACTGTAAAGGCCACGCAAGTTAGTTTTAGCTAAATATTGCACATATTTTTATTTATGTACATATGCAAAGAAGCAAAAAAAAAAATAATAATAATAATAGTGGCATAAAAAATAAGCGCAGCTGCTACTAAACAGCCGCAACACATAGTTCTATGTTAAATTAACTTAAATTTTATGCAGTTTTGCGCGACAAGTCGAGTTTAAGGCAGCGTACAAAGTGGACCGCACTCATTGCTTATCACCACAAAACGCACGGGAGTTTTCCACGTGAAAAGCTGTGCTGTGATAAGGAAATATACGAGTATAAATGTAGAACACCGCAACCTTTCACGTCGAAATCTCCCAAGGCCCTTCCACACCCTCCACCCGCCCTGTATGTGTGGAAACACTGTTGCAATTTGATCTTCACCATTCCATGTTAAACGTGACCGCAAAGGCGGTATAATAATTTTCAATTACTTCCAGTTCAGCTACTAAGTTGAACTAAAAATGAAAATGGGGAACGATCACCTCTTTGAGATATACATACATACATATTTGGAACTGACAGTGAGCATTGAGTTGTTTAACTCTCGCTTGTTTTCTCGCAGAATCAGTTGGAAAAGTGACATCAAAAAGAGCAGAACTTGCTGTGCTATATTAATAAATGGTATAAAGTGAACTTGAAAATGTAAATATAATTTGGATCAGAGATATCTTCCTCACCGCCAAACACCTTTTTGTGGAGGACTTTCAGGAGATCTTTTACAGGAACGACGGAACCCAATACTTTTATTAATAAAATATAAATTCCTAGAATACGTTAAATTCGCTTAATGCATATATTTTATGTACATATTCAATAAAAAGGCTCTCCCATCTAAAAAAAAAAAAACACATTTTTTCGAACTTACAAGTGGATTTAACCCCTGAATGGACCCACATTTTCTAGCAACTTGAAAAGCGATCTCGATGGGGGCCCCTTACTATTGGAAGAATCACTTCATCCAAAATACAAGCAATTTCACCTTGTTTTCTTTTTAGAAACCCTTTCTATATCATGATTTTCGGCCCTAGTTTTCACACGAAGTTTACAATAAGGCTGAATATGTATGGTAATGTACAGACATATGTATGTATCTGTTATAACATTGCCACTTTCAACGTTTTCATTAAATTGGTTTTACGTGTTCTCGAAAATTTGGCAATAATAATGTTAACGGTTTTAGATATTAAATGTTTAAACTTTAGGTCAATAATAATTGAAAATGGTTTTTCCAAAAGCGGGCCACAACACCCAAAAAAATACGTTTTCAAAAGGCTCGAATGAAAACAATGTTGATTAGTTTTTATAATTATGATGGAATTCATTCCTGTTAATAGATATTACTTTTTAAGCGTTTTCCATCGTTTTTTGGAAAATAATTGGTCGTGTTAGACTTGAATATCCCGCAAGAAAACAGACAATAAACTTCTTCGAAATTTACAGGTTATGAGCCAAGGAAACGTTTTAATTTTTTATTATGTGAAATAAAAAAGTTTAATAAGTCTATCAATAGTTTATATAATAGCCTGTTGGAGAGAACGTAGCAATTTAATTGCAACCCTGCAAAGAATCCATAGCACTGCAACATAAGTTAAGCTTTCATGTAATATCTATAACTAATACCACTCTCATCCGTTTAATTGAATAAAATAAACGCACGTAAAACAACAGAGTCCAACTGATGGTTTATTTTTTAAATGTTAACTGTTTAAACGGAAAAATGATTAATTGAAGTATTTGAACGAGGAATGTGAAATATTTAATTTTTTTTTGTTGGTGAAAATATATGGAATTCTTCAAATATTATTTAAGAATTTACAAAACTTTGGTAGTTTGAATATTTGCTGCAGAAAAGTTTTGATTTAAGTTATATTATAAAGATAAGTTATAGTAAAATAATGATTTTTACTGCTTCTTTCTATAAAATGCTGAGCCTTCGGGGGGTTGGTTGGTTGTATTTTATTTTTTTTTTTTTTGGTTGGCTATCGAGA